ACAGCATTAAATAGCCAATAAAAACCGCGCAACAGATCGATGCGGAGATTGTGGAATAACGTTAAAAGCTGTTTTCTTCCTCTTTGAACCGTTTTGATGAAAGCTAGAAAGGCGGCCTTCCTGCCACTCCCCAAAGAGATGGCCTCCCAAGCCTCCCAAGGCCTTCATATGATTTGCATCCAGCCAGCAGCCCTCCTCTGTAGCAATGATAGGGAAATCTTACTTTTTTCCTTCTGTTGCTAGAATCCTCAGGAGCAGAGTGTTTTATTTAAAAGACAGCATGGGCAATTACTTTATGCATATGCAGGCATCTTCATGCCTGTAAGGCTGGGCCAGGCCCTGGAGGTCTGCAAGGTAGACCACATGGCTGGGCAGGGGACCACCAAGGAGGCCCTGCCAATCGTCTCAGCACCTCTCCGCCGCTGCCCTCAGGACTCCTGGCAGCAGACTCAGGGCACAGCCACACAGGGCGGAACCTCGGAGCCACGGGGTGCGAGCTCTCGTCCAGAGTCTCATGTGCAACAGATGAGGCTTCTTGGGGGCAGAGCGAACGGCAACCCCAGGCTGGTCCTGGAACCACTGCAGATTGGTGTCCAGTGAGAGACCCCAGACAGAGCAGAACAGCCAGTGCGCTTTGCTGGAAGCAGTCTCCTCACTTCTGTGCAGGCCACAGCACATCTTGTGGATGGAACATTCCAGAACCGGGGGGTGGGGGGGACACAGGAGGATCCCTCTGGGGAGACCAATCAGGGGGAAAGGTGGCCTGGATAGGATGGGAGTATGGGGTGAATTTGGCCTTAGCCAGTTTTCCTCTCTTACAAACTGGCCTGTCTTCAGGAGCCTGCTGTGCAAACAGCCAGGCCAGTCTCCTGCCCATGGCTGCACTGGGCATCTTTAAAACGCCTGATGTCACAATTTGGGCTTTGGATCCTCAGAGGCATCCGTGAGTCTTTATTGTTTAGTGAACCTCTTCTCACCACTCCCCAAAGTCACCGTGTCCTGGGACCAGCATCTCGCTCCAGCTAAACATACCTTTTCTGTGTCTCTGCTTAGAGGAGAAAGTAGGTAGGGTGGGGACAGGGCACAGAAGACTCAGCTTAGGGTGGTTCCCTTTGGTGAGTTTTGCCAGGTCTCAGAGAATTTCAGAGTCCAGATGAACACTTTGAACTCCCAACAGGGAGTTGGATAATTTAGATGATTTGACTTGTTTTTACCATTTTCTGACAGTAGTTGACTTTACCGACTTCTCCAGCTTGTAAATTTGGCCCCTTGCTGAGCGCTCTGCGTACACGATCCCCTTTCGAGTTTTTCTGCACAGGTACAATCCCCACAGAGCAAATCACAAAGATCTTTAGTCCAGAGTTGGGTGAATTTTGGCAAATGTGTACACGCTCGTCCCCGTCACCCTAATGCGGGAACACAGGACATTTTCCTGGCCCCAGGAGGTTGCCCATGCCTCTTTCCCTCCTGCCCACCCTCGCACGGAGACGACTGCTGCTCTCATTTCTCCTACCCACGTTCATTTCTCTGTTCTAGAACTTATGAATGGAAGTTTTACTTTTTATAAAAACATCTGGCTTTCACTCTGCACAGTGTTTATGGTACTTGTCCAGGTACACCAATAGCTGTTCCTTTTTATTGCGAATATCCCGTTGTCTGGATATCCCAAACTCTGTTTATCCTTTTATCTAATCTGGGGCACTGGATTGTTTTTAACACTTGGTGACTATGAATAAGCCTGCTTTGTGCTTTCATGTTCAAGCCTTTTTATAGACGTACGTCTTGGGGAAATACCTAGGAGTGGGATTGTTGGGTCATACGCTAAGTTTTAACTTTGCAAGCCACTGCCACACTGTTTTTTCCAAGTGGTTATTAATATTTTTTTTTACTCCTACCATGAGTGTGAGTTCCAGGGGCTCCATATTCTCACTAACGCTTGGTATTAACAGTCTCTTTCATTTGGACCATTTTCGTGGGAGTGAATGGGTGTCTTGCTGTTATAATTTGCATTTCCCTGATGATTAATGGCACTGAGCACCTTTTCTTGTACTTATTGTCTATTGGTTCTTTTGTGAAGTGTCTTAAGCCTTTCTGCATGGGCAGGGTTTGTCTTATTATTGAGTTGCAAGAGTTCTTAACGTATTCTAGATACAAGTCGTCTGTCAGTTATATGTGCTGCAGCTATTTTCTTCCAGTCTGTGCCAGTCTATCCCTTTTAGACCTCTCTGAGCCCTTCAAGGAGGATGTTATTTATCCGCTCTGTTTTAGAGAGGCAGAAACGGAAGCACAGAGAAGCTAAGTGAGAAGCCCACAGTCACACAGTGACTCAGTGGAAATGCAGAACCACTTGTGTGTGATTCAGAGCATCAACTTCCAAACATCCCAGGCAGAATCTCTCCACACACCAAGCCTTGTGCCCCCTGGCAGCCTGGAGGACGTGGTTCTCAAGCCCATGCCCGGCTGGGTTACTTCAGTTCATGCTCGCTCTATCCTGCACATACCAGGCCATCCTGGGAAGCAACCGCTCCCAGCACGCAGTCGGGAGCACCATCTTCTCAGAGGATGCCACGGGGCTCTGAGCTGCTCCAACCAAAGACAAACTGCGGGTATTTTTATGGGCCTCTGAGGATGCTGGCAGGATTACCTCATGCCAGGAATAACAATGAGGGGCCCAGCCAAACACTGCCAGCCTTGCTCTGGGAGGCATCGCCGGAGGAGCGAGCCAGGCAGTAGGAAAGAAGGGGCCTGCGGTGGGAGGGCAGCCTGGGACACCACAGCTGTCCCAAAGGAGGCCTTCCGGGTGCCCAGGGGACGGGGTCCCTGTGGCAGTCAGAGCAAAGGTCTGGGAGGTTTTGTGAGAGTGGGAAGCACAGTGACTCCAACCATCAGCACGCTGGTCAGAAGGCGAGGCCTTACTGAGCACCCCTGCCTGCCAGGCACTGTGTCTGTGCTTTGCATCCTTGTTGGTGCCAGATGTGGTCAGGTGTTTCGCACTGACTGCCCATAATAACCCCATGAGATAGGTATTATTAAAATGCTCACAGGAGGAAACTGAGGTTCAGAGAGGTTAAGAAATTTGCCTAACGTCACATCATTTGTGAGTGGTTGAGGCATGAATAGAGGTTCAGCTAATTCTAAAGGCAGCCACTTAGATCCTATGCTCCGCTGCCTTTCTGTGTAACAGACTTGGGTCAAATGTGTACTTTGTGGAAGAACTACCTTCGGTGTCTTGGTGAGGTAGAGTTAATGTTGAACAGCACCTGTCCCTTTCTCTGGGTACTGTAGTGGACTGAATGGTGACATCCTCCCCAATCCCTGCCATCACCACCACAAAGACATGTCCCATCTCTGAACCTGTGAATCTGAGCTCATTGGGAAAAAGGGGTTTTTGCGCATGTAATTACGTTAAGGACCTTGAGATGAGATCATCCTGGATTACCTGGGTGGCCCTAAATCCAATGACAAGTGTACTTACAAGAGACAGGGGAACAGAGAGGTGGACAAGGCCATGTGAAGACAGGCAGAGACTGGAGTTATGCAGCCATAAGCCAAGGAATACTGGGGCCACCAGAGCTGGAAGAGGCAAAGAATTCTCCCCTTGAGCCTTGGAGGGAGCATGGCCCTAGCATATTCCCTTCAGTAGCTATGAGTCACCAGGTCCACCCCACACACTGGAGGAGATTATACCAGGACTTAAATGCTGGGGGGCAGGGTCACTGGGGACATCTTAGAGGCAGGAGGCAGGAGTCCCACCTTCCATTTCTCTGGCTCTCCCAGGGCACCTGGCTCCGATTGCACATTGACCATGTGTGAGCTACTGAGCTAGATTCTTTAAGCACATCACACGATGTAGCATCACTTAACCTGCACAGGAATCTAGCAAGGGGAGGTGTTCACCCTGTTTGACAGAGCGGTGACTGAGGCTCCAAGCTGAAAGCCACACGGTAGTGTATTAGAATAAACCAGTGGTGTGCAAACTTTAGCTGCATCACAATTACCTGAAGACAATTTCTGGGCCCTGTGCACAGAATTCCTGATTCATAGGTCCCGGGTGGGGCTGGTGAATTTGCATTTTAAACGAGTTCTCTGGTGAAGCTGATGCTGTAGGGTCGTGGATCATGCCATTAAAATCCTGGAGAATCACTGTTGAAATGACAGGAACCCTAAAGTGTTAGCGGATTCACAAATTGAATATATTTCCCACTCAGGTCACAGTCCTACTGGGGTGAGATGGTTCTCCATCCATGAACCATTTGGAGCATGTGGGAATCCAGAGTCACTATGGGAGTTAAAAGAGGGCAGAGGGTCACATGGGATGTTTTAAAGGGCTAGACGAAGTAGCTTTCCCTTGCTTACACTCCATTGGCCAAAATTCAGTGACATGGCCCCAAACTAACTGCAAGGGAGGCTGGGAAATGTGTTCCCCAGGAGGAGCAGATGGCTTGATGAGCACACAGCTGGTCAGGACCAGCCTAGGACTTGATCTCAGGGGCTTCCCTCCTTCATCTCTTTCCTTTTCTCTGGTCCAGGTGCTTTTAGTGGGCTTTCTCATATTAGCTAATGTCACGAGACTTTTTCCCCCTTAAAAAATGAGAAAATAGTAGAGGAAAGAGATATTTCTTGTGTCCAGCAGCCCCTTCTTTGCCAGCAGCCTTCACCATTTTAGAGGCCCAGGTGCTTAGCTTAACAGCTGACAAGCACTTAGAAAACTCCCAGAGTGTCTCCGGTGGTTTCTTGCATGAGTTTTATTTCCACCGTCTTTTGCAACGCAGGGCCTTCATCTCCAACATTTGAGCAGACCTCTGGCTACTGCTTCTCCAGTGCCCAAACCCTGGACTTAGGACCACAGACAAGCTCCAAGTGGAAAACATGCTTTTCCTGCCACCTGGCCCTGCTGCTCCAGACTGCTCCAAATGCAGCTTCCTCACACATCTGTAGTTTCCAGCTTTCGTGCCTTTATATACTCTGACATCTGCCTGAATTCCCTCTCTTCCCTCCAGACTCAAACGACACCAGTCCATGAAGCCTTCATCCATCAGTCATTGTTCAGCTTGCCCTCCTTCTGGAGCCCTTGCCTCTTGGTGCCCTTGGCCCGGCACTTCTCAAGGCCTCTGTAGACTCGGGGGCCTCTGGCCACACCTGCCTCTCCTTGTAGAATGTGGGAAGTTCAAGAGCAAAGACTGTGGCATCCTTTACCGGCCTCTTCAGCAGCAGCAAGACTGAATCTGGAAACCGTCCTACGAAGTGCCAAGCTCCCTCCAAGACCCAGCGGTGGTGTGAAGACTCGCATTGGTTTGAATCCCAGCTCTGCCACTTGCGGGCTGGGGGACTTTGGGAGAATTATTAGCTTCTCTATACCTCAGTTTTCCCATCTGTACAGTGGGACTAATAATGTGAATTTTTAATGAAATAAATCACCCAAAGCCCTTTCAACAGTGCGAAGCACGTGGAAAACACTCAAGAAATGCCAGCGATGTTTTTGGTATGATTATCACTCTTGTCATTACCTCACTACTGCTGCACACACCAGCCATACCAAATTACTTGTTGACAGTTTTGATGGTCTTGCAGGTGTCTTTGCTTTTACACTTGATATTCCTTCTGCTTAGAAGTTCCTCTTTCTCATCTACTCATTCATTCATACTTAGCCCTTCATTTATTTAACAAAGTTTTTGCTGAGCTCATAAAGATTCAACCTGTATATTCAGCTCAGTCAGCCCTTGCTGGCCATTCCCACTGGATTTCCCACTCCTGTTTCAAAGGCCCACTTACTCTTCTGTATCTCTGTGAACTTGAGAGCAGTAAAGGTGCCCCTTTCCCCACAGGGTTTACTACTTTGAACCCAGTTCCTAATGTCATGGCTGGAACATAGTATGAGCTTAATAAATGTTTGCTGAATGAATACGTGAATGTTGCTCATTTTGGAATCTGTCCCCAGTGCCTAGTACATTGTAGGTACTCACCCAGGACACTTTCACTTGCGTGAAACCAAATCACTCTGAATTCATATCACCTAAAGGTCTGGTTAGGGGAAGGCCACTTTTAAGGCATATCTGCATTTTGCCTCTTTCCGAACCAGAAGGCTTTCCCTGGTCCTGTTTTCACCTAAAGGTCTGGTTAGGGGAAGGCCACTTTTAAGGCATATCTGCATTTTGCCTCTTTCCGAACCAGAAGGCTTTCCCTGGTCCTGTTTTCACCTAAAGGTCTGGTTAGGGGAAGGCCACTTTTAAGGCATATCTGCATTTTGCCTCTTTCCGAACCAGAAGGCTTTCCCTGGTCCTGTTTTCACCTAAAGGTCTGGTTAGGGGAAGGCCACTTTTAAGGCATATCTGCATTTTGCCTCTTTCCGAACCAGAAGGCTTTCCCTGGTCCTGTTTGACGAAGTTTAAAATGACAGCAGGGGTTGTTCTCTGAAGGTGCACCTGTGTTCCTTGGGCCACGCCCAGGGTCATCAAGAACTGCTCAACTCCATGTTTGCTGACGCACTTCAGAGTGTGTCTCATGGTCTCTTGGAACCCCCGTGCCTAAAGCAGTGCCTGGAAACCGAGGAGGGAGGAAGAGGAGGGAAGGAAGCAAGGAAGGGGCCCTTCTTCACTGGCCAGTATCTTAGAGAGGACAATCTGGAGTCAAAACATTGTCCCACTAGTCTACTGGGGTGGATGGCAACATGTGGCCAAAACAGTCCCTTAGGCCCTTCTTTCGTGTGTTGGATTTTTTTGGCAGCTGAGCTCTGGTCTTGCTTAGCAAGGTGGCTCTAGAGCGTGATCTACCCTCTTTCTGTCTCATCTTCTGCAGTTGTTTGGTTTCTTGCCTCTCTAAGATA